AACGTAGTTACAAATTCAGCATGGTGTCTACATGCCTCTCTCTCTCTCTCTCTCACACACACACACACACACACACACACACACACACACACACACACACACACACACACAGCAGCAGCAGCAGCATAGTAGCGTCAGTCAGGTGCCACACACCGCAGCAGTGTGGCAACCCCATCGTGTGTAGGGCCTACGGGCGAACGCGCCACTCGCGTCGCTGCCCGGAAATACGACGACGACACTCGCGAGCGGTCGACTGAAACGCGACTAACAAGCCGCTCCTCCCCCCCCCCCAAATCCTTGTTCTTGTCATTATTCGTCGCGCGCACGAGACAATAGAGCGTTGCGCGACACTAAAAAGATGCGGTCATTAGTACGGTCGTCGCTGTGACGCGTCGCTATGACGTACCGACGCCATATTGTCTCCATTCACGCTTCCCGGGCCGGCTTCGTGATGCATCAAGGTGATTACCCTCATTTGCGCTTGAAACGAGGAGACGTTGAGCGATGTGCGCGCAATTAAGGACAGCCGGCTACATTTTTCCGCGCGCACAGGAGAAGAATGAAATAGAAAGTAGGTTGCATGCTCGAACGAGGGTAATGACTTTTTGCAATCGCCTGCCCATCGGCGGAGGTTACCATAATTGTAGAACATTAGAGAAAATGCACTATTTCGAAAGCACGAGTTTTATGAGAGTCGAAAAACAAAAGCGGACAGCTATTATGGGACAGAAGTGCCAATTTCCTTTTTCGGCCTAACGATGACGGAGTGTCATTCATCTTGGCTGCTGCCCGAACAATAGGAGGACAACAGTAGGAGTGGTGGACTCCGGGTATATAAGGACCAACCGCAGATGTCCAAATCAGTTCCTCACTCATCAGCACTCGGCCAGCAACCGGTATCTGAACAGGTAAGTAACCACGACTTTTTTTTACTAGTTTTGTAAGAGCAGTATTTCTTCTTGTGACATTTCCAAGCGTAAGATTTAAGACCAGTATCTCAGTGCACTGCGTTTTCTAAATTTGTCATATATAAAGATCTAAAATTCAAACGAGGCGCTGTACTGATATTTCCACGTTAAGATATTCATGAAAAGCATATAAATATTACATTAGCCTTCAAGAGTTGGCACACGCTTCAAAATTTCCGATAAATCGTCATGTGTATACACTTATATCGTATCCTTGCATATATATAAATCATTAAAGTTCCTTATATGTCGCACAGCTAGAGATTGTTTGGTATTGCGGTGTAGTTATATGATAGAACACGTAGAACATTCAGTCGTGCATGAGTTATTTGGCTTGCCACTGGATTAGCACTATTCAATTACGTGTCTCATATTAATATATTATACACTTTATTTCTATTATAAATGTATTTATAATTAACCACAAATATAATCTGATTACGCGACGTGCGCATTCGTGCATTTGGAAGTGTTCAGTGTGAGTGTGTGACGTGCTCTCCTGAGCATAGCGTATTCTCAGCCTGTTCTGCTAGCATCTATGACAAATACGACATACGAATATACGCTCTCCTATGACACTATTTGTCATAGGAAGATTCTTCCTATGACAAATATTGTTGTATGTGTTGTGCGCATCACAGGAGTTTAGGAGCGCTATTATGAACGCAAGCAGTGAATTTCAGCTGTAAAGCAGAACGCCAGACTCCCCAATATTTGCCATAGGAAAAATCTTCCTATGACAAATAGTGGCATAGGAGAGCGTATATGCACATGTCGTATTTGTCATAGATGCAAGCTGAACATGTTGGTATTCTATGAAACCCGACTAAACTATTTGCCGGCCGAATCCGCGTATGGTTGAATGCTCGACACCCGGCGCATTATAACGTGCAGATGTACCCATACACATCATGCGTTCGTCTCACAGGTCAGCATGAGAGTCTTCATCGCGCTGTGCGTGCTTGTGGCGGGAGCCGCCGCTAGTGGTAACTACGGAGGAAGCTACGGCACCAACGACAACGTAGGCAGTGTCGATGCCGGCGAACAGCAGACCGGCTACGGACACACCTACGCCCCGGAGTTCTTCACCACGTCCGTGTACGGACCGAGGGCCGACGCCCGTGCTCACGGATCCGGATCAAAGCACGCCAGCGGCTCGTACGCGCGTGACGGCCAGGCGGCCGGCGCTGACTACGAGAAGGATGAAGCCACGGCAGCAGAGACCGCCGCCAGGGCCAGAGGTTACGAGTACGGATACAGGTACGTTGTTGTGCGCCCCGCCACACCAGCTACTGCTCATCGCACGTCATAGCCCCCCGCATCGCACGCACCCCGCCTCCCATCCACGAAAAATCCGACGCGCAATCAAATACACTTCCCATAGCCCATCCACATCCTGCTACCCTAAATCTGACCTTCAAACTGCTGACAGGATAGCGTGATAATTACTTTAGCACGGGATTGCATGAGTTCGCAGACGAGCACGTTTGCTATTTATAACGCAGAATCCCTGTCAATCGGCTAAGCTAACGATCAACCTCCTATAGCAGCCACGCAACACCTAACTGTTCTCTACCACGCGGAGTAAACACGCAACTGGGCGAAGTTTTGCCTTGCATTATTTCTTTCAAGCAATTGTATCTGGTATACGGGGGACGGGCGAGAGTAATTTTCATCGATATTCACTATGTATTCTGATGAATTTCTACAGAGATGGATACTCCTGGTACCAGCCCAAGACCCTGTACGCCTTCCAGTACAAGCAGCCAATCATCGGATACAAGCAGGTGTACGGACATAGAGTGATCCGTCACGGAAACGGAGGTGGATACGGAGGCGGATACGGAGGCGGATACGGAGGCGGATCCGGAGGCGGATACGGAAACGGCAACCTCGGCTATGGAGCCAACCTCGGTGTGCACAGCGCTCCATCCCCAGTTACCCACGGAGCCGTCTACAACACCGGCTACGGCCACGGCAACCAAGGATATGGTGGCAACCTTGGATATGGTGGCAACCTTGGATATGGTGGCAACCAAGGATATGGTGGCAACCTTGGATATGGTGGCAACCTTGGATATGGCCAAGGTCGCATCCACTAAACACTTGCAACCATCGGCAATATTATTATAGCCACTGCGTTGACAAGTTCACTGTGATTAAAGTGTTATATTTATTGTCATACTTATAGACACGACTAGCACCATTAACTCCCATGATCAAGCGACCTACAGATGCCATACTTGTAAATACGAACATTTGATGTGAAATCGTTAAAATAGTGTGTATTTATTCCTGCTATTTATTTTCTGATATTGAATGCTATTCATGTTAAATAAATGAAATGCATAAATACACGCGAGTTTTCTCTTTTATATCTTGGTATCAAGTTGCTAGATAAGTGGTATCAAGTTGCTAGATGACTAAGATGTGTGTCAAGCACTGTCATATACTATAGAAAATACTGAACTTGAAGTACACTTTAAATCAACATTCAAATTCAGTGCAATTACAAACTACATAGATCTGCCAAATATATATATATAATATATATATATATATATATATATATATATATCTTGGTGCTAAAATAGTTCACTTATAAAACATGGTGGTACACATGAGACGGTCGATATTTAGTTGATGCTCGAGAAATGGGATATAGCATCATAACATATGCAATTATACCACGAAATTGAAGCCGGACGTGTGCGATGTAAACAAATAGCGACCAATGTAATTGTTATCTAAAGCCATTCGGTGATACAGCACTACATACAAATGTGCTGCTGCTGTTCCTAGGTACTATTAGTACCACAACCACGTACGGCCCCCAGCACTACCACTATACGAAGCATGTGAACTAAAGGAACATAATTTGAAGTCGTCTGATGTTTTGATGGTCCTTACTAGTACAAATGACAAAAATAGACTTGAAATGGTGCGTTTGAACGCTTGAATACTCACAGAAGCGTAGTTACCTTAGCTTCTAAATAATTCAGTTTAAATGTTAAATGTGACATGGCAATAAAACATGGCCTGGAAGTTTGGAACGTACTTCACTATTTACAGCTTGCCGTTTTTCCTTTCCTTTCCTGGTAAGCATAGTTCGTGAAAAATCACACATTGGTGGCCGTCATATCTCGTAGTAATCCCAATATGACTGGTTCAAACTTTCTTTTGTCATACATTGCAGTTGCCCATTTACTTTAATAATGAAGTTCCCACCGTCATTATAGGATTTTGTTTCACGGAGCGTGACATCCTCTACACCAAATACAATGCGTTATTTTTCGCAACCAGAAAAAATTGTCATTTATTTACACACAAAAATAGCCAGGCTGCAATTCAACCACCTTAAGCTCCTGTGGTTATAACGCAGGTACGTTTTATATAAATCAATCGAAGCTGGGAAGCCAGTTGATCGTGAGCATATGCTGGAAGACTGGAATTAATTGCCCATGTACGTACGCAAAGGGATACAACTACCTAGAATTTTAGAGTATATTATTGTACCAGTAAGTGCATAAATAATAGTATATACCTACAAATATTAATTTTATAATCATGCATTCACATTTGTCATAAAACGACAGTGAGTTTCAAAATCTTATTTTTGGCCGCTGACACGACACCCTGCGATTTTGCTGCCGGCCGTTGCAGGGCGAGGGCTACTCACAAAAGTAGTATTACATTTATACATAACTACTATTTGACCGAACGATGTTTATTTTAGGACAAACTCGTCCATATTATAACTGAATATGAAAGTTGTTTATAAGATATCGCAATCCTTCTTCTCTTAAATTAATAAATAAGAAACACCCTCGGCCTTTAGTCAAAAATTTGTGATGTGCAACTTTTGAAAGCAGACGGACTAGTAGTGGCGCCACCGTCGTTTTAAGCAACTATACAGCCGTTAGTTTCAAAACATTAACAAAAATGTTTTTAATAAATATTAAACAGTGAAATTTTTCATGTAGCGTAATTTAAACCTATTTGAAAATATGCAAGGTTAGGGACTTGTATCCCGTTAACATATGCGATTGCAACAGGTGCACACCTGGCCCTATTCACACTGTTAGAGAGCATCCGCTTTATCTAAAAATTACAAGGAACCACAGGCCATAATATAACGAGGTAAGACATCATGGGGTTTCACGGAACTTCTGTCTTTAGGTCGGGAGCATGAAGTGGACATTCTGTCTTGAACGGCACGAAGTAGTCTGAGTATCAAACTAAAACAATACAAATAATATTTATTTACATGACCTTGCATGCAAACGCAGGTCAGCACCTATTACGGCTTTCGGTAGGTAACTTATATAAGTGACCACTGTCTATATTAGTTTAAAAAATGATTTTGCCTGAGAGATTTAGAATGATTCCATGTCACTCTGCTGAAAGAGAGCGATAAACAAAATCACATGAAAACTTGAAAATAACAAACGTGTTGACATCAATAATAGCTTTTCAACTTTGCGAGATGGAATGGCTATTGATCAATGAATTCACATACACGTCAAATTCACTCACGTGAATGCTATTCATGCATGGTCATGAAAGTCAATAGACCTGCATAGACCGAACGCCGCTTTGCACAGACAACAAAAGTTATTTGTTTCTATATTTTTGTTGTTTGTCCAAAGCGGCGTTCGTGCAGTGTACTTATGTGTTGCAGAGGAGCATTTAAACGGTATTTACAGTAAATTATTGCTAATAATAGGCGAACGAGCGTAGAGAAACACATCTTGTACATTTCGTGTTTATTTATCATCATTTTATTATTGAGACGTTCCAAGCGCCTGTGATGCATTACGCGTGTTTGGTCTCTACTGGCCACGAACGGACTAACAACGAATCCAGGTACAGTATGTGCCCTGAAATGTGATGCAGTGATTGCAAGGCATAATATTAATGTCGTGTGGGAGGTTAGAAGACAAGGATATGCTAACACCATAAACAATGACATTTGATAATGACACCGACCTAACACCACAAACAATTACCTCTTATATATTAAGATGAAAATTATTAAGGAAAATCACGGGCAGTTAATATAACCATGGCAACGGGACAAAATGTATTCGAACAACATTTCTCTAGGCCGGCAATGCATTCGTGCAAAACAGCAAAGCGGGAAATCTAGTGACTTCTGACTGCTCGAATGATAGCAGAAATTCGACGCAGAATGGCTAGCGACACTATCAAGTGACGTGGCAACAGAAGCAGGATGAGGTGTTGTATGGTGCACGGTCACACCCAGGGACAGAGCTAAGAGCTAAGCTAGCAATTCGCGGAAAAAAATCGTTAAGAGCTGCATGTAGAAACTGCACACACGCGTCTACAACGATCACTTGGCCAAAGCAGGTACAGTCCATAAGCGCCAGTGCGCTGTGTGCATGGTTACACAGACACACCTTGATGAACAACACATAGAAATGTATACATACAAAGTCACGTAGGAAAGCTCACCATTTAAAACAATATTCACCTCTCAGGTGTGTCAAATGTCAATCGTTTTCGTCACAGATGTAGCAATCGTTAGAACGCTTTATTTGAGGGCAGAGAAGGTGAAACACGGTGCTGACAATCACATATTGTGTTAAAAGCAAAACGAAATAAATGTGGCTAATGCTAAAATACAAAATAGTATAAAACGTAGAACAAAATCAACCCTCAAGCTAATTTTTCCCCATATCACGGTATAATCGATATTCTATTCTATTAATAATTACATATATCGTAGTGCTATAAACAGATTATTAACAGCTATAACAAAATTATGGGGAACAAGTGACGAAGGACTTGTGGGTAGCAATACTGATATTTTGTTAGACTGTTATAAGATATTTTCAAGACGGATTTGAGCCTCCAGACGGGCAGTAAACAATACCCATGCAGTGGCGGATCTAGAGGGGGAGTTGCAACCCCCCTCTCCGTTCAGCCACTGACTAATGTTATCAGGGGTGGATAATAGACTAATAATTCTCTATTATCTACTCCTGATGTTATGATACTAGTAAAATGAGGGCAAAAAAGTCAGGCTGCAGGCTGATAAAAACTGGGGATTTCCATACGGTAACATCCCAGTTGACCTACTCCCATTTCGCCTACACCAATTTCGCCTACGTCCCATTTCGTCTACTCTCAGAATCGGCAATATTCCCATTTCACCTACTCCCATTTTGTTCTTGTTTTGTTCTATTTTTGTCAAGTTTTGTTCTCATTATTTGTACCCATGTTTTCCTCTGGTTCCTATAGTCTATGTATGCCAATAAAAACCATATTTTATTATTTATAAATGATTATTTAGTGAACAGACCGATGGTAGACGAAATGGGAATGGGGCTGATTTTGAGCGTAGACGAATTGGGAGTAGGCGAAATGGGTGTACGTAGGCCGACTGGGAATTTTGTGTTAGGCGCGAAATGGTAGTATATATAGGCCAACCCCGGGAATAAACCTTCAACACCGCTGCCTGATTTTGACCACACAGCTACCTAAATTTTCCAGGTAGAAGGTGGGCATGCCCCCGGACCACCCCTAGCACCGTGTGTCTTCGGCACGCCTTCACTCAAATATCAACCCCCCCCCCGTCTCCTAAAAGCTAGATCTGCCCCTGCCATATTGGTGGTTTAGTTTACTTCTTATAACCTCTCATAAAAAGTGCAATGCTACATCCGTGAGCATGAGCTGACCAACTGAGATGCATCAGCAAAAGTTGGCAATGCCAGGGCTGTGGTGTTACTGCATATCGTACCATCTAATATATAGATTTAGGCACTGCCTAAAAGCAGAGCTCCCAACGTCATACCACGTGACAACGGTGTTACCCCCCCTGCCCCTAAGAGACAGACATATGGGTTTTTTCTTAATAGTATTAGTATATTATAATATTGCAATGATAAATCAAAATAACAATTACAATTTGTGACGGTAGATGGCGCTACGTTGGGAATAAATTGGCTATGTAGTGGGCATATGTTTCCATGAACAAAAGTATCCTCGTGACGTCCGTGTACTTCAGTGTGACGTCAGTGGCTATCTATACACCATAGATAGTGTTTGGGATACCATAGATAGTATATAAGATAGCCGAGTCAGTTTATAGTTAGGGTTTTTGCATCATTCTGTGATATACGGAAAGTCTGATGCAGAAGTCGATATGCGTAGTATGGAATATGACCATGCGCAACCATGCACCAGCACCATCAGCAGGCTGTATGTATTCAACTGCGGAGATATATAGCCGAGTTCGTGCGTGACGTCAGTGTACGTCACGAGGATACTTTGGTTCATGGAAATATATGCCCACCTGGTTATGCAGCGTTCCGACATGTTTTGTATAACTTTACTACACTATAGACGTTTTATCGGCAGGGTGGTGAGAAAATCGAAATTTTGCATTAAGGATATTGTCAACAAGACTACATGAAATCTTGTAAAACGAACCAGAGGAGTGTTACACCACAGACGGTTACTGGCTTGTCCTATGTCCATATATATGTTGGTTCCCATGTGTAAACGGACGTACGTACGGACGGACGCGCCATAGAAAATGAAGTGGATGGGTTACCATTATTTCTAAAGTATGGTGCTCCGCCTTCGGCCTGCGCGACAACTCCGCTATGACCGCATACATGAGTATACAGCCTTTGCTAACACTGCAGAAACTGTTATATACATTATGCACCTCACGCTCTTTACTTTCACCCTCCCCGTACGTGTGCTCTTATCCCACATAGCTGCAGCTCACTTGACTACGACTCACCTACAGTTAGGCTTGCGATATTTGAGCTATCGTTGCCATGCCGACAGATGCACTTCGAGGACTTCCTGCCTCCACAAAAGTATATTATCCACTTTAATACATTACCTACTATCTATGCCGGCGAACGAACACCTATTCTACCGTCTCAGCCAAATCATCCCATCTATCATCACCACACAAAGACATGAATACTGGCTCTATAAAGCAGCAAGATACCTCTCACTATCAAATCAATAAATAATAAAACACCCTCGCCTCTTTATCCAAGAGAGTACATGATTGCAACCTTATGATGAAAAGCGACCAGACGGTACTGATTAAGGCTTGAGGGTCGGACTGTAATACCTGCTTTACACGTCGTTAAGCAACATATCAAGCTCGTTATTTTCAAAACAATAACCTCTACGTGCAATTAACAAAAATGTTTTTAAAAACTATAATCTAAATCGAAGAAATATTGTTAACATTCTCTACAAGAGTATACAATCCAACCTATTCTGAAATAGCAAGTAGGGGACTTGTACCCCGCTTAACATAAGATATGCACCAGGTGCTGACACCTGGCCCTAATTCACTACTGAGTTATAAGCATCACGACTATATCTACATAAATTACAAGGGAACCACAACGCCACTCAATAATACGAGGCAAACATCATGCGTGTTCAATCGGAGACTCTCTATCTAGTCCGTAGACCATTATCAGCTGGACATTCTTTCATGAACCGAGCACGTCAAGTAGTCGATAGCAAAACTAAACCAATACAAATAATATTTATTTACATGACCATTGCATGCGCAAGACAGACAGTCAGCACCCTTATTACGGCTTCGTAGGATTAAAACTTAATAATGGACCGACTGTCTAATAGTTAAAAAATGATTTTGCCACAGTAGATTTCAGAAAATGAACGTCCCATATGTCACATCTATGCTGAACATAGAGCCGGATAAACATAAATCACATAAAACTAAAAATAATACGAAACACTTTGACATCAATAATCATCTTTTCAACTTGCGAATGGAATTGCTATGATCAATAGAATCACATACAACTTCAATTTCACTCACTGAATGCTATATCATGGCACGAGTCTATGAAAGCAATAGAACCCTGCATACGACCGAACGCCCGCTGCACAGAAATACAAAAATATTTATGTCACTATATTCATTTAGTTATGTTAATTTACCAACACGGCTCGTGCAGTTACTAATTTTCGCCGAGGAGCAATTAAAAACGTATTTACTAATAATTTTATGCTAAAAATCTAAGGTACGAACGAGATCGAGGAAAGGAAACACATCTTACCATTTCGAGATAGTTATATGAATCATGCTAATTACTTGAGCAGAGACAGAACGACTCTCCAAGCGCGCAACGGCATGAGCATTAGCGCCTGTTAGTACTCTTAACTGACCACGAACACTGTAACCTAACCTACAGCCGAAACCGTGTAC